TTTTTTTTTCTCTTATTGAATATTCATTGATTTCTAGAAAAGCAAAAAGAAAATCCTCTTCTTATAAGCAAATTTTTTCCATTTATAAACATAGCTTTTATCTCCCATGAGATAAACGGCTGAGTGAACGAATACTATGAACATATATATATAGAAGATTTTTTACTTATTCAATAATGATAATTATATTCTTACCCGTTGGTGTTTTTCGTCCTTCACTATGATCTATACTTCGTTGTTTTCCTAATGAATCATCATGATCAACTAAAAGAAAAAAAAAAAATAATAAAAGAAAATCCATATAGGTTCATCAAAAAAGAAAAAGAACAGATCACTGCAAAGCAAATATCTCATGCTTAAAATAGAAACCAAAAAAGAAAACGACACATCAAATACAAAAAAGAAACCTTTATCACGTGTTAATCTATTTAATTTTTCTCTTAAACTTTCAATATGTATCATTTCAAATGGATGTGCATAACAACTTAATGGTGTTATTGAACCTGAATAATTCTGTGGATGATATATTGAATAATAACCACCATAACGTGATCCTGGTGTTGGTACTTTACTTGAATCAACATAATGTAAAGGACCATCACGTTCACCTTTAAAAATATATACAAAACAACATTGACAAAACAACAATAACAACAACAACAACATCAATGAGATTTTCTTTTTCCTACGAGACAAAAAGCTTGACAATATCGATTTTTTTTTTATAAACCTAATCGTTTTTCATGAATTTTTGCATTTATTATTGTATCAGCACTTGATGTTGATGATGATGATGGAAGAAAATCTTTAGATAAATCTCGTTTAATCATTTTAAGTGGTTCTAATTGTTTAAATTGTGGACTTAGACTTTGTTGTGATGAAATTTTTTCTTGTTTTTTTTCTCCTAATTCATCTTCAATTGATTCTTCAAATGTTATAGTTTTTATTATTGTATATATTTGATTTGTATCATTAATTATGATATCTTTAGTTTAAATATTAAAAGAAAAGATTATTTGTTTTTTATCGATATGATTTATCCGAGAGAAATATTATTAGGTTTTTTTTTTTTTTTGTTTTTTTGTTTTTTACTTACTAGATCTTCCATGACGACGACGTTCATATTCATCATCACTTTCAAAACCTTCATCTAACTATACAATCATTAAAAAAAAAATAATAGAAAGAAAAAAAAACCAATAGTAAAACATACACGACGTCCACCAACCGGTATTCCTTCCACACTTCCACCACGACTAGTTAAACGTGCTTTAGCTACTTCTTTTTCAGCTGCATCTGTAACCCATTCAATATTAAATACACAATTCTGAACAATATTTTCTTTGCCAATTTTACGTAAGGCTTGTTGAAGACAGTTACCTAAGAGAATTTTAATAAAAGTTTTCAGTTTAAATTTCTCTCAAAAAAAAAGTCATCAGAATAGTCGAAATTAAGATAAATGCAGGAGAAGATAGCCCGTGATCTGATCTTCCGCATCTTCTTTTTTGCCGAAATTTTTCATGATTTCTACCATCATCCCCTTGAAAAATAAGTAGTTTTCGACAAAAAAAAAAACAAAACAAAAAATCTTTTTCCTTTTGTTGGTACTTTTATGATCGCGTATCCCAGAATTCTCAAAAGCACTTCATTTTAGCCAATGGACTTTTTTTGTTTGAAAGAGCATGTCAAGATGCAGAGTATGACAGAGTTTTGCTTTTTAAATTTAGTAGAGTATTTTTATAATTAGGGCGTTATTTTTCAGATTTTTGAGACATTAAACTTTTCTCCTTTTAAAAAGTAAGAATTTAAAAAAAAATGTCTCTAACATGCTCTTTTAAACAAAAACAAATTAAGTCTATAGAATGAAGGTTCACCAAGAATTTTGGGTTGTCAAATGAGTTATTTTTAACCCTTGTTTGTTGAATATCTCCCGAAAACATCATGATATAGGGCCGGAAATTTTACCATAGCATCTCCACTTCAGTCTCAACGTATCTCGATGGCCCCGCGACCAGGCCAAAGTTTTTTTATAACGAGGACCAGAACCAGTTTTGTTTTAGATCGAGCCTGGAATGAAAGTTTTTTCTGATCGGAGTCAGAATGGCTTCTTTCTATACGCAGGGATATCGGGATCAATTTTTGTCTCTGGGATTGGAACCAGGACCGAGAACGACTGGTCTCGGTCATATCTAATATATTCATAAAGAAGCTCTTCACCTGTTGCGTCAGTACCACGTGATTTAAGCCAATATCGTAACATATGTAGAGCAGCATTTTCTCCAAATTCATCCATTAATTTGGTAACTTCTTCTTCAGTTAATTCAAGTTCAGCAGCAAGTGCTGGCCAATCAGTGCCTAATGATCGTGCTATATCCGTTAAACGAATTTCACCTTTTCGATACATATCATCGGATCTCCAGCCTAAAGAAAAATAATTTTTTTTTTTTTGGAATATAATTTTTCTCTAATTCTTACTGTCTAAACGAGAATCTCGCTCAGCTGAACGAAGAGCTCGAGCACGTTCTTCATTCTAAATAAAATTCAAACAAATGAAAATCAAAAAAAAATTTCAATAACAATAATCTTACCTCGATTAAATCCTAATTAAAAATAAAGATAAATACAAATAATTTTAATATTCAAAAAATAAAAATAAAATATATTTCTTACTTTATCATATGATGGTAAAACAATATTTAAATTACAAATTGGTTGTAATAATTGTGGATCAACCATTGTATTTGATGGTATATGTCCATTTGTCATTGTATTTGATATTGTTCGTTGTAAAGGTGTTAATTTTCCATTATCTTTTGAAAATATTAAACGTCCAACTGGTTCTTGTTGTTGATCACGTATACGAACAATACATGGTAAACGATTTTCTCTAAATGCTCGAAATACAAATGTTAATTGTTCATTTGTTTTAATAATTGGTTGTAAATTATTTGATTGTAAATCCAAATAAATTGTATTACCATTAATAACTTCAACTTCTTTTGATTTAGCTATTTCAACAAAATGTTCTTGCATTTCAAGTGTTTTATTTTCTTTATCATCTGTTATACAAAATACACGAACAAGTGATTCATTTGGATCATTTCGTTTAGCAAATACAACAAAACGTGACATATATGGTACTGATGTTGCTTCACGATAAATTTCATGAGCTAATTTTAATACATCTGGTACACCTTGAGCATCGACTAACCAGAATCTTTACAAAAAAAAACAAAAAATAAAAAGATAAGATATTATTTTCAATCGATTAACTTAGAGCAATGCTGCTAGGAAAAAGTCATCTCTCGAAGATGATTAAAGAAAGTGAATCAATTGTTCAGTGAGAAAAATTTGTCTATCTTCAAGTTAATGTTTTATCCAGCGGTGAAGGTCGAATTAGCCTATTCGAAAGAGGACATCTGGATAAAACAAATGCTTGAAGTCGTCGATATATTGCCTATAAACAAATGATAATTTATCTCATAGTTTTATCAACTAGGAAAATTTGACTTGCTCCAAGGAAAGTCTGATAAATTCTACTTCCCTTGTTAAACATTAAAAATTTCCTATATGAATCCATATGATTAAAGTTATTATTAATTAAGAAATATAGTTATCCTTTCGAAAGTATTCTCAACAAAAATGAATTAATAAAGAAGAAAAAATTTGAAAATGTTCATTCATAATTAATTGAATCGAAGTAAGATTTTCATATCTCTAATGAAATAAACTCAGCATAAGAATTAGATATTGGCAAAATGATCCCGAGACTAGAACCAACATTTTTCATTGGAAATGATACCTTTTATGTTAGTATAAAACTTGCATTGAATGTTATACTGTCGCAACTCGTGCATTCTGAATAGATATGGGTAAGATAATCTCTATCCTCACGGAATCACTAACAAAAACGATTGATCTTCCTCATGTCTAATCAGAACTGACAGATCAATACATAAGAATAGTATCTCGTAAATCCTCTTGAAGAAAAAAGAAAGCCACTACAAAATTTGAACAATGTTTTTTACCTAGCTGAAACAGTTGTTGTAAATGTAGCACAATCATTTGAAAATGTTAATGGTGTATGTCCTGTAATATCATCAAATTGTGCTGGATGTGTACCACCAGTAATACTACATAATAAACGAAGTGTTTGAGAATCACTTGTATATGCATTTCCATGTTTATCAGATTCACGTTGATGACCTTGTTTTGTTGTTGATAAAGATTTTGTTGGTAATGGTATTGTTAATGTAATTGGTTTATGAAATTTTCTTCGACGTGGTTCAACTGTTATAATAGGACTTACATTAACACGTGTACCATATGAACGTTGAAGAAGTTGAGATGATATTGGTAAAACATGAAGTGATATACGAATACGTTTTTGTAATGCTTTTTCAGGTATAAGTGCTTGAACTTTAGGTATTATTGTTGATGTTAATAAACCACCTTGTTCATCAATAAAATGTGTTTCTTGACGTAAACGTGTTATTAATGCAAAAAAACGTGGAAAATCATTTGTTATTATACGTGTTATTCGACGTGACTGAAGTTCTTCAAGATTTTCAAGTTCTAATGAAAACAAACAAAAAAAAAAAAA